GGATTATCCCCTCTAACCTACTTCTTGATTTTCTGTTTGTTCTCTCATCCCTCTCTGATTATGAATTCCTGTCATGAGTATTCCACTTCAGTACTTTTGTATTATTTATAATCTCTTATTCTCCCTTTGATGTTCCCTCTAAGCCCTCTTTCTAGTCTTTTGACATCTACTCTTTTTCTAAGTTAAGTACACCAGACATAAATTTGAAGCTAGTATCTACATATGAGAGAGAGCATATGGCATTTGTCTTTCTGAACCCATGTTCCCTCCTCACCCAGTATAATTTTTCTAGTATTACCCCTTTAATTTCGAATTTCATTTTGCTTTATAGTAGTGCAATATTCCATTGAGTATATGTGCTGCAATTTTTCTTTGTCCACTCATCTGTCCTTGGACATCTGGGTTTATTCCATTTCACAGCAGCTATACAGCACTGAACATGGATGTGCAAGTGTGTCTATAGGAATAATCTATCTACCATACCAGTCTATTGAAAATGCTGAGTCAAAACATACTAATAAAACACTCACCAGAGTTCCTGGTACATATTTAAAATTAAGCAATACCATATGAGTTTTTGTTTTGTTTTGGTAGACTCTAATAATATTCAACTACATCTGATGACTCTCATTCCCTTTTACATGTGGGATTAAACACTAGAGGAAATGGTTTAGAAACTCAAATAATTGTCATATAAAATTCACCTATTAAATTTACTTTTGAGCTAATCTTATATTTTAAATGTATAATTTTAATTTATAAATCAAAGAATCATTATAAGTTGTAAATTAAAATTTTAAAGATCTAGCTGTCTTTATAAATATGAATTCTTTATTTTGGCATATATCAAAAAGAATTTAAATGTTTATAGAAAATTCTAAATATAGGTATTGAAACTTATGACTATAAAATTCCAGATCTCGGAAAGTCATGATCGTATTCAGAGTTCATCTTGGTGTATTTAGTAAGTTCCGAAACAACACAGTCTGGGCTACATCAGGAAACTCTTAAAGAGAGAGGGGGGAGGGGAAAGGGGGAAAGGGAGTGGGAGAGGGAGAGAGAGAGAGAGAGAGAGAGAGAGAGAGAGAGAGAGAGAGATCTATGACATATAAAAGTATACAAAATGGATACTAATGTGGGTGAAATAGAAGAACCAAGATTCAAGAATGGTTATACATTGTATTGTATAGAACATTTTAAGATTGTGACACATAGAATTACCAAACCTTTTGGCCTTATTCTTCGATTATCAGTTTGTAACATTTAAAAAATCTTATATCATTTTTAATGCAGATATTACAGTAAGATGTTTCCAGATAACTTGGGGAAATATATAAAATTTGTTCTGAGAATGATATTTTATAACTAATTCATTGTGTACTAGAAAAACAGATACAATAATGTTAAGGATAGATTGTGAGTAGAAGAAAGCTACTGATTTCTTCGAGTTAATTTTGTATCCAGTCACTTTGCTGAAGTTGTTTATCAGCTGAAGGAATTGTGTGGATGCTACAGTCCTACTCAGTAGGAGGAAGAGAATACTCTCTGGGAAGTAGACTGAGAGAGGGATCTGAGAGGGAGAGAATTGGGGGAGGGAAAAGGGGGGCCAGTTCAAATATGGGAGGAGATGGGGGAGATGTACAGAGGGTCAGGAATTTGAAAGCAGGTGTGTAGCAGTGAGGGAGGGGGAACTGGGGGGTGTAGCCACTAGAAAGTCCCAGATGCCAGGGACCCAAGAGTTTCCCAGGACCCAAACAGGGAGGACTTTAGCCAAAATACCCAACAGAGTGGGAACAGAAGCTGTAGAGACCAAATCTAGTGGATATGCATGGCCTCCAGTTGAGGGATGGGGCCATCCACCCACCATAAAATATCAATCCAGAATTCCTCTTGTGAAAAGGAAATGCAGAGATAAAGAGTAGAGCAGAAACTTAAGGAAAGGCCATCCAGAGGCTTCCCCACCTAGGGATCCATCCCATCTGAAGACACTAAACTCAGACACTATTGCTGATGCCAAGAAGTGCTTACTGTCAGGAGCCCGGTATAGCTCCTCCCTGAGAGGCGCTGCTAGAGCGGTTCCAATACCGATGTGGATGTACACAGCCTAACATTGGACTGAGAGCGGGGACCCCAGTGGGGAAGTTTGGGCAAGGGCTGTAGGAGCTGAAGGGGTTTGCAACCTCATAGGAAGAACAGCAATATCAACCAACCAGATTCTCCAAAGCTCCCAGAAACGAAACTACAAACCAAAGAGTGCACAGAGGGTACCTATGGCTCCAGCTGGTTATGTAGCAGAGGATTGCCTTATCCGGAATCACTGGAAGGGAAGCCTGTTGGTCCTGTGGAGGCTTGATGACCCAGGATAGGGGAATGTTAGTCTCCTGAGGCAGGAGTGGTTAGGCAGGTGGGGGAGCATCCTCATAGAGGCAGGGGGAGGGAGGAGGGAATAGGGGGATTGTGGAGGGGAAACTGGGAAGGGGGATACCATTTAAAATGTAAATAAAGAAAATAACCAATAAAAAGAAAAAAAAGCGATAGATTCTGATTCTGCAGGGGTTAACAGTAATCACAGAAAATGTATGCCTTTTTCCAAGCTGTAACATGTAAATCAGAAAGTTTGTAGAGGGCATGCATAGAGTGTGCGACTATAGAACCATAGAACCATATAAAATAGTGAAAGCTTGGAGATATTTATGATTAAGTGTACTAAGAAATGCAATAAGAAAACTAATAATGCAATAAGTTTTCTTATACAGTAAGTAAACTAAACAAATGAATTGGTAAGTGAAAACGTTTAATTGTCAAAATAAAAAATTATTCAGATGCAGAGGGAATAACTCTTGTAGAGATTGCTCTGTTTATTTTCAGAACATGTGAATTTATTTATATTCAGGTATGAGTGATAAATGCAGCCACAATTTAAAGCACTGTGTGACGCGAGAAATTGACTTGGGTCTAGGGAATGGAGTGAATATGACAAAATTTTCACTGATCAAAAACCTGGTGATTCTTTAGATGTGAAAAAGTTAACTGTTCTTGGAATTTTATGTCTGTAGTTCTGTCTATATATGGTAGTCCTAGTGTTAACTGCATTATTACATTTTTATTCATCAAAACAAGAAATGTTTAACGATATATCCCATTCTAATTTAGTGTTCTTTCTTAATTCACCAATACATTGCAAAACCATAAAGAAACAGGATTCTATTAAATTTAACCCAACTAATTATTATTTTAATTTGGCTTTCTTGGTCTCTTTACAGGGAACTGAAATCTGAAAGAAATTTCCATTTTGTGTGATAAATTGGACTTTTTGTCTTCAGACTTCTTATATATATATACCAGAATACTTCTCAAGCAGTTGTATATATCCTGGATTAACAGTAAATTAATAGAGTGGGACTTTTATATGCCTGAAGGCAGCATGCTTGATTATTGTTAAATCTGTTTTTTTTTTCAGAGCTGGATTTTCTGTGCGCTGAGAAAATTACGTTTCCAAGACAACAGAGCTGAAGGTTAGATGTCTAGACAGACTAATTCACTGGCTTTATTAGCATCATCCTGTCACCTTTTGGAAATGCTGCTGGGTTTCTGCTGGCCCTGTACCAATATCGTGGGATGAAGGATGCTACATTATTATGCTGATACTACTGGTGGAAAAAAATATATAACTCAAGTATATTAAACCTAAAAGGAGCTGGGCTAATTTTTAAAATGCAAATCCAGGCCATGGTTCCTTATCTCAAGTGTATCTCATTAGCAACTAACGGAGCTTTTTAGGAAGAGAAAAACAAATGCTGAGGAAGTGTATAGGTATCCTCCACAGAGTAGCAATCTTGTATTTCTATTTTATATTAAGGATGAAATAAAATAGTATATCTTTTGTTTTAAATCCCATGATGAGTCCATTTTCCTTGTTTCAAGATATTTAGTATCTAATAACTTTGAGTTACTTCAGACAGATAAACTATGTTAATTCTGCTGCATCGACAATCCCATAGACACCTTGGGGCAACCATTACCTAGTATTTGGAAAGTGTAACTGTACACTGTGTTGTTTCACTCTTAATTTAGTGATTTTGGATTTTCCTCCTCCCCTGGCTCCCATTCTCCATCTCGAGGAAATCTAGTATGTGACACGGTCTTAAGAAATCAAAGAGCAGTTAGACTAAGAAGAAACAGGATTATTTAGGAGGACAAGGAGACCAGAAGGATGGCATAAAGTCACCAGAGGAAGCAAGTGTGAAGGAATGTATGTAATAAAATGTTATACACAGGTAAAAATGTCACAGCGAGCCCTATTATTTTATGGACAAACTTAACATCATAAACAAAACAAACTGATTGTTACAGCAGCTGTAGAACAACAATACACTCTGGTCTTTGAAGATAGTGTTGTTGCTTGAGATAATCTCTCTCTCTCTCTCTCTCTCTCTCTCTCTCTCTCTCTCTCTTTCTCTCTCTCCCTTTCCCTACTCCTTTCCCTCTCCCTCTCTCCCTCCCCCTCCCTTTCTCTCTGCTTTCACTCCCTTCTCAACTCCCCTTCTCATGCCCCAAATAAACTCTGTTCTACATTGTACCCATTGTATGACTGGTACCTCAGGGGGAAGTGGTGATGCCTCAGCATGAGCCTGCGGAGACACCCCTCCCACATCACCATACCTGCCTCTACAAATCATATCCATGGCTCATGGCTCCTGGTGCTAAATTAATCAATCAGGAAAGCTAACTGTGCACCAAGAGTTTCTGCACCACTGAAAATTATGGAAAATTTTCAATTTAGTTTTAACCTGTGCTGGGAGATAATACAAAAAGAATACTTTTCAGTAAAGCAAGTAAAGAGAAATTTATCATTTCCCTTATTTAAGGTTGTTAAGTATAAGAATAATTAGGATTCAGACACGTGTCACTTTTGTTTAAGTTAGAACTGATAATTATAAGTAGCGTGAAAATAGATACTGGGCATTTTCTCACATTAACATTAAGAATTAACAAGCCTTTCTGTTCTTAGAGACATTGCAGGCAGCAGTACCACATGTGAACCAATATGTCACAGTGAGGAGAGAAGCTATGTCTATGCTCAGTGTTATGACCCATGACTATTTGAATGATAAGTAGCCTAAGCAAGCCTGAGATTACTTCCAATCCAGCCCTAGGGTGCCTAGACAGAGATTTAGCCTGAGATAACCGCCAGTCCAATGACAGGCAGGCTTAGATGGGCTCCCAGAATGAGGAACAAGCCAGAGACTAGAAGTACACCACCAGGGACCAGGTCCCTGGGCAGGAGTGAGTCAGAGACAGATAGCCCTCACAAGGGGTCGCTCAGGCAGACCAGTCCAGGAGGAAGCCCAAGACAACCACCAGATAGGCACTATGGGGCCTGGACAGGGAGCTAACCTGAGATGGCCACCAATCTGGCACAGTGCAGGCCTTGAAGGGCAGACCATGCCTGAGATGATACCTGCCCTTGTGTACTCTTGAGACTCCTGAGATGACCCAGACAGTCGGAGACCTTGAGTGCCATTAAGAGGAGGAAGTAAGTGGTGAAGAAATGGAACACAAAGAGAAACAGAAGGTTGTGGGCCCAATGAAGAGAGGCAGAATCGGGGACTCGAGGGTCGTGAGGAATAGCCTGATGCGTATAGCTGGTGATGCCATTTAGAGTGGTCTGTGCTGGCACCAGAGTCCATATCCCGGTCTTTTCCCCTGCAGCATGTTACCAAGAAAGAATGGCTAGATGTCCCTGATCTGGGCTGGTGCCTGGGAAATATGTTGATATCTGAGGACTGTGTAGAATTGGCCCCATCCTTCACCTAAGGATTGTGGGATAGCTGGCCCTGGAGGCATGAGAGCAGGAAAGCTGACCCTGTCCCTGGCTAGCTGCAGTATTCAGGAGAGCAGCTCTACACATTATGGTACTTGTTGATTACCCAGCCCAAGGATATTAGAGTAGAAGAGCTAGCTCTACCATTCCTTTCCCAAGTGGTGGTGTGGATGTGGGAGAGACAGCCCCCTCCCTCTAGACCCTCTGCTGCAGGTAGGAGATCTGTCCCTGGGGTCGTGGGAGCAGGACAGTTGAGCCTTCTCTGAATCAGCTGCATCCTTGGGAGATGCCTGAGCAGCAAAGTAGAGTTGACCTTGGGGTTAGGGGTACTAGTGAACTGGCTCCAAGGGTGTGAACATGAGATAGCATGAACCACCATTTGTCTGCTGTGCTGTGACAAGGGTAAGGGATAGATGCACCCTCTCCTCATCTATAGCAAGCAGGAGAGCTGACCCTGCCCCTCACCTGCTGCTGTACTCTGCACCTCTTCTGAGCATCAGATCAGAGCTGGCCCTGGATATGGAGCTGGTAGGTGAGCCAGCCCCAAGTGTATGAGTGTGTGGTATGTGTTTTGGGGTCCAACTGTGGTTCCGCATCCTCTGCTTTCTCCCTCTCAGGGTGTCCAGATGCCACAACAACCAGGCTGGCAACATGAAGAGGAGTCCAAAACAGGTGGTGCTTTGCACGATCTTTTTTGGGCTAGGAGTGAGCTTGAGGGTGAGGTGGGATCAGGAGGAGAGTGAGAGGCCTTCTCTGAGGATCTTCAATGGAAGAGCTCTCTTAGACAACCTTAGCTTTTATGTATGCTTTTATTGGGGGTAGACATGTGTGAATACACTTTATTAGGAGTGAATTAGGGCTATATATAGGCTTGGAAGAGTAGAAAGTCATTTTCAGGGTAAATGAAAAGCATTGCCTAAAGTATTAAAGTTCTGTGAGTATCCCATTTGCATGGAGTGGCATTCAGGAGTTCCAGGTCCTTGCAGGGTAATTCTTATGGGGCCTAGGGGCAGAGGTTTGTAGGTCTACCAAATACTCCTCAACCTCTCCCAGGTAGGGGTTGTGGGGAGCCAGGGTCCCAACACAAGGTCAGAGAGGGGGAAGCCCTGCTGGTAAAGGGAGTCTTCCATTTTGCACTGTGCTCAGATGAGCTATCCAGTCATGGTAAACTCTGACCTTAATTAGTAGGATTTGCACACATGAATGTGAGAGAGTCATCCCTGCCTCTTGTCTGCTGAGCAGTGACCTAGATGAGGGTTGGAGGAGAAGTGGCAGACAAAAGAGCTGGCCATGGGGTCATGAAAATGGGAGAACTGGCTATGTCCCTCATCAGCTGCAACCCTGGGGAAAGCAGACTCTGCACACTGCGTGAGCAGCAGGGTAGAGTTGGCCCTGGCTGCAGGGGTTTCTTGTGACCAAGCTCCAAGGGCATAAGAGCAGAAGAGACAGCAGGCTGACCAGCTCAGTTTCAGTGCTTTGAATTGGCCTACTACAACATCTACTCTGTTAATGACCTGCTGGTGTTCATGAAGGGGATGGTCCTACAGATCTAAAGCTATAGGATCTCTATGATACAGGGCAACAAAATGATATCTGAGAGGAGTCCCACTCAGGTTCCAGTACTGAGAGAGAAGCAGAAGCTAAAGGCCTCATACCGGACCAAAGAGTCATTGTAATGAACATTTGCAAGTAAAGAAGTATGGACAAAAGGGTATACCATAGGACACAGTATGACACACTATAGTTTTCAAAATGAGAATTTTTTTCTCTGTTGTGGGAGAGGTTGCAAGAGTGGAGGACAGATACTAGGGGAGGGGAAGATGAGTGGAATTGGGGTGCATGATGTGAAATTCACAAAGAACCAATATTTGTTTAAAAAATTAAGGAAATTTAAAAAAGAATTAACATGCCATTGTAATAGAGTAAAAGAAGACAATACAGGTAATTAGATACCAACATAGAGCAAAAAAAACCCCTAAAACCAAACCAAACCAACTAACCAACCAAACATCATATAATTCTCTATGCTTAGATCAGTGTTCTTGCTAAGAACATCTAGAAATTTTATAAACATTTTGTTACCATCATAGATCCGAAGACAAAAATGCTCTACAGAAATTAATTTACTGTTTCAAAAGTTGTCCTTTGATACATAATTCTACAATACACATAATTCTTGTGTTCTCAAAAAAGACACAAAGGGACAATAAAAATCAGAATGAGGTTTTAAAGGCATTATACCAAAGGAGACAAAATAATTGTTCATAATCCACGAAGAATAAAGAATTCAAGAAAATTCAGAAGGGATCTTTGGAGATATAGAGCATGGACATATGTATAAGGTCAGGACATAGTCCCAGCCTTAGCAAAAATGAATCATTCATATCGGCTCAGCCTCTGACAGGGTCTGGGTCTACAACCCTAATGTAACTGCTGATAAATCATAGGGTGACTGATATTAGAAAAATAATGATGACATAAAATGGATGCTGGATTTTCCTGACATTACCCAATACATATACTGCTATTGGAATAAAAAGCAGGGCAAGAAAGGTAGAGACAATGAAAAGCTACATAGTCCTCCATTTTAATTGAGACACTTGTATCATACACCTCTCCTCAAGGCTCAGAGTTCCTCATAGAAGAGAGGATGGAAACATTATAAGGACAACAGTTTGTGAAGGATTGATGTGAACTGTTTTCTGGACATGACAAGGCTGATGCACACATGAATTTACAGGGGGTTTGATTGCATGCACAAGACCTGAAGAAGACCAAGTAAGTCAAAACTCCAAATTGCTTCAGCGAACGGCCATTCCACTTTACGAACTGTTGTCATTTATGGCTCCTGGGGCAGGGACAGTCAGATAAATTTAGGGTTGCAGCAGGTTCTAGTAGGTTGCCCATGGTTCAGTGGACGATTGTACACACATAAACACACAGGCAGTACTGGGAATACTCAGTAGGTTAATAATAAAATACATAAAGTTGGGAGGGAAAAGTAGAGAGGGCAATATGGGAGTAACTGGAGGGGAGGAGGGGAGGGGTTGTTTTGATCTAAATGTGTTATATCCAGGCATGAAAATTTCAAATAAAAGATTTACCCATCCAAAATCAAAAGGCCAAGTTGAAAATAAAGAAATAACACTACTAGATGCAAGCATAAACCAAAGAATAGATCTAATGAGGCAGATTTTATATAAAATAAATTAATATCACCAAACTGAATGGCAAAAATGAGACATTGATGTTCCCAGGTATAGGTTGGGGAGGAGGATCTTAGGTATAGGTTTTGGAGACAGTTTCTTGTAGATGTGAGAGAGAAAACATCCGGAGGTATATGGAACGATCCAGACTGAAGTGGGCAGTGTGAAGAGAGGAGTCAGAGGAGAGGTAAGAAGTGAGGAAGAGAAGAGAAGAGAAGAGAAGAGAAGAGAAGAGAAGAGAAGAGAAGAGAAGAGAAGAGAAGAGAAGAGAAGAGACAAAAGGGGAGGGGAGGGGAGGAGAGAGAGAGAGAGAGAGAGAGAGAGAGAGAGAGAGAGAGGAGAGTGACTGAGAGGAGAGAGAAGAAAGAGAAGAGAGAGAAGATAGGAGAGAGGAGATAGAGGGGAGAGAGAGTCTGGAGAGAGAGGAGGAGAGAGGGGAGAAGGAGGAGAGAGGAGAGAGAAGGGAGAGAGGGGAGAGAGAGAGAGAGAGAGAGAGAGAGAGAGAGAGAGAGAGAGAGAGAGAGAGAGAGAGAGCAATAGAGAGAAGGTTGCACCTGGGCACTCAGAGACTGGCAAGCCTAGTACCTGTGCTGGCTTAGGGGGTGGCAGGAGTGAGATGCTGAGAAGTGCTCACAGGAGTCAAAGGTACTGAGTGACATTGGTCCAGGGTTTCTTTCATGCCTAACAGAAATTAATAAATCATAGAAGGCAAACAGAGAATTATTTTATTGGAAAACTAATGTATATGTATATATTTTTTCTCATAGATATTATATCATATATATATATGATAATTACATAATTTGCAAGACACCCATGACTAAAATTAATACCACAAATTATGTTTAAGAACTTTGAGCACAACTGAAGATAATATTATAGAACTGGAAGATTGAAGATTGTTTTCAATGAAACAAGCAGGATGAAACACTGAGATATACAGCAAGAAGTAGAATATATCTGAGTTTAGATATCTCATGGGCCCTAGGAAAAAACAGTACTATTATTCTGCTAGAGGAACATAGGAATAAGATGATTGCTAATGACATTTTGTTATACCCATAGAGAAATGTACCCCAACCTCATCAGAGAAGTGTC